GGCCGGATGGCGGTGGCCGGATGGCGGTGGCCGGATGGCGGTGGCCGGATGGTGTTGGCCGGATGGCGGTGGCCGGATGGCGGTGGCCGGATGGCGGTGGCCGGATGGTGTTGGCCGGATTGCGGTTGCCGGATTGTGGTGACCGGATTTCGGCGGCCAGATTGCAACGGCCGGATGGCGACGGCCGGATTGCAGCGGCCGGTTTGCAGCGGCTGGATTGTGGTGGTCGGATTGTGGGGGGGGCGGATTGTGGTGGCCGGATTTCAGTGGCCGGATTTCGGTGGCCGGATTTCGGTGGCCGGATTTCGGTGGCCGGATTTCGGTGGCCGGATTTCGGCGGCCAGATTGCAGCGGCCGGATTTCGGTGGCCGGATTTCGGCGGCCAGATTGCAGCGGCCGGATTGCGACGGCCAGATTGCAGCGGCCAGATTGCGACGGCTGGATTGCGGTTGCCGGATTGCGGTTGCCGGATTGCGGTTGCCGGATTGCGGTTGCCGGATTGCGGTTGCCGGATTGCGGTTGCCGGATAGCGGTTGCCGGATAGCGGTTGCCGGATTGTGGTTGCCAGGTGGCGGTGGCTGGATTGCAGCGGCTGGATTGCCGCGGCCGGATTGCAGTGGCTGGATTGCAGTGGCGAGATTGCGACGGCGAGATTTCGACACGAGGCCAACAATAGAGCACCGTGATCGACGCACTATCGACGCGATGGCCGAATGGTGATAGCCGAAGCGCGATGGCCGATTCTCGATGGCCGGATAGGGTTGGCTGGATGGCGTCGGCCAGATGATGACGGCCGGATCCTGATCGGTTAAGTCATCTAACACCGTGATCGACGCACTATTACCTCTTTTCCGGGCACGATTTTTCCCCGTCTCTAAACACTCCTCGTGTATCTCCTACCACAGAGAACAGACGTTCAAGCTCGGTTAGAAACTTGTGTAAAATAAGTGGGAACGTCGCCGTTACGTGGTGTTAGCATCTCCTGATTTTCTCTATAAATTTTCCACTTTCGACCGATTTGGCGCTAGTATCGATAAATTTTCTGTTGAAAATTGCCACTTGGCGCTACTAGCACTTAGTGTCTAGTGTAATTTGTGCAACGCCAGCGCCATCATGTTGTCAAAGAGGGTTTTTAAGTGGGGAAGTCGCCGTTAATGGCGCTTAAGTCAAATAGGAATCTTTACACAAGTTTTTAGAGAAATTTTGTTCCAGCCTCCATGTCTGTTCTCTGTGCTCCTACTATATCGTACCACAGTCAGCAACACACTGCCTATCCTCTCTCTCTCTCTCTCGGCCGCTCTTTACCTCTCACAAACCCCCTGGACGTTCTGGAGTGGTGCTTCGCTACGAATCTAAGTTTTCTCTCTTTCTCAACATATTTCCGTCCCGGTGACCAGCAATGGTCGAAATAAACCGTACACCAATTGAATCAAATGGTACTAACCGGTAACAACACTAATACTGGTAGCGCCAAGTGGCAATTTTCAACAGATAATTTATCGATACTAGCGCCAAATTGGTCGAAAGTGATAAATGTATAGAGGAAATCAGGAAATGCTAGCGCTACGTAACGGCGACGTTTCCACTTAATTTTACACAAGTTTCTGACCGAGCTTGGACGTCTATTCTCTGTGTTATAACCTTAGAGAACAGACGTTGAGGCTCGAACAAAATTTCTCTTAAAAGAAGTGTAAAGATTCCTATTCGACTTAAGGGGGTATTCCCGATCTTTTTTTTTCAAAAAATCAAATTTTTTTTTCACGTTTTTTTGTACTTTATACTATATACTTTCATCCCCCCAAGCCATTTTCCGATCAGCGAATTCGGTGTCCAGGCATAGCTGACTAATGGTAAGAACCCCCAAATGGTTTAACTAAAGTCAAAACTTTAAACGCGTTTTTCTCGAAACCACATTTTTTTATCGGGCGAAGATTTTTCTCAGAAACTATAAGAGATATTGACTTGAATCTTTGCGCATTTTGTTCCTTATTAAATTCTTTGGAGCTTCTTCCACTTTCAGCCAAAAATATTAACATTTAACATTGTTTGAAGCACCTTAAAGTTGCAAAAAAGCGGGCTAAAAATCGCCTGTTTTTTCATATGGCCGCCATTTTGTTAATTTGCAAGATTTTTTGCTGCCAACGGGAGAAGCTCCAGAGAATCTTATGCAGATTATTAATTTCATCACGAAATCTGTTTCAGATGAAGCCGTTCCAGAGAAAAGTCTTCGCCCGTCCAGGCGTTTGCGGCGAACAGGGGTCTGTTTGTCGCCATTTTGTGACGTCAATAATGTCTTTTTTTATGTCGAAAAAAAATTATTTGTAAACTTTAATGTTCAATAAACAAGAATCCCAAAGAGTTAGGCGCATTACTATTCATTTTCCTTGAAAAAAAATTAATTGAAAAACAGGCCGAAAAAAGGCAAAAGATTGGGAATACCCCTTAAGCGCCACTAACGGCAACCTCCCCACTTAAAAACACTATTTGACAACCTGATGGCGCTGGAGTTGCACAATTTACACTACTGTGTTACCTGACTTATAACGAATATACGTTGTATACGAGCACCCCGAATACAACGTATAGTTCGCCTAATTTTACATTGCAAATGCTATGCAAAATTGGACGAGTCATACGTTGTAATCCGGGTATATTCGTTATAAGTTAGGTAACACAGTAGGCACCAAGTGCTGGTAGTGCCAAGTGGCAATTTTCAACAGAAAATTTATCGATACTAGCGCCAAATTGGTCGAAAGTGGAAAATTTATAGAGGAGATCTGGATATGCTAGCGCCACGTAACGGTGATGTTCCCACTTATCTTTCCACAAGTTTCTGACCGAAGTTGGACGTCTGTTCTCTGTGTTATGAGTCAGGTAACACAGTAGCAGCTTTGGGAATGGTTAATTGAGTCATGTTTTGGTTGATGGTTCTAGCTTTTTTCTCACAGATGGAAACCCCCTCCGTGGTAGTCAAACAGTTTGTCCAGTATGGCAAAATCATTAATTTCTCAACAAATACGGACTTATCTGCAAAACATGCACAACAATTAATTATATGATTTGAGTAGTAGCTATACTGAAGATCCGAGAGATGTCGCCCCCCCGTCTTGATAATGAATAAAAGCTGAAAATTTTCATGCATTTCCAAATGGTTTCCTACCAGTCCCATACATTCGAAAGTGACTGGCACTCTGGATGTGGATGATGTCAAAAACAACAAAACATGATTAATTGACCACTTTGTCAAGCAGTTCTGGCGTGACTTTCTACCAGCAATGTCACAAAACTGGACCAACTAATTTCTATTTTTTTATGAAACGCACAAATGATGACTACTTTTCTTGTGGTTCTAGAAGAAAAAATCTCAAAATAATGTTTTATTTCAAAGTTCGAGTGGTAGTAAACGTCATTTTAACTGCTCGAATGAAGTGGTTAATTAACCGCTTTTTCCAGTACATAAATGATAGAGATAAGTGCCGTGATTTTTCAATAATCGAGCAAATTCCAAAAATCCCGAGAAAAATTCTCAGTTCCAAAACTACAAAGCCCATACATTTCAAAGTAGGTGTTTCTACATTTTACAAATGGCAGAAGTGGCTTCCATTGGTTAAACAAATACACCATTAACAAACAATTATGCTAAGTCTCACGCACATCGGAGATGGTCGAGTTTTTCCGATTCGTCATTTGGCGTGGAACTAGCGAACTACTCAAGATTCAAAGTAACCGAACGTTAGCAAAATAATGAATGACTGCCCCTAACAAGCATTGGATTAATGTAAGGAGTCAGTTTTAATCTCACCACTGCTGACAGCATGGTGCCACCACCAAATGTATTTTCCAACAATGCTCTGATTGGGTTGCTTAGGGGTATTGATGTAAATACATATTCGGTATCTGCATTAAAAATGGAACCGAAATCCAAAATTTCATCCATTTTGATACACTGGATAGCGCTTCGTTTTCTGAGCACAACGATATTTTTATCGACCCCGTAGACATTCATTTCGATTTTGAAAACAAATGTTAAATTTTTGATCGTTGACACTAAATCTATTCGTTGACAGCTCGCTCCCATACAAAGTCCCACCAAGAGGCGCTATGATAGTGATTTTTGCTAATGTAATCGTACTTATTTAAAATAGTTCCAGTGTACCAAAATTGATGAAATTTTGAATTTCGGTTCAATTTTTAATGCAGATAACCTCTCAGATAACGAATATGTATTTACCTCAATACCCATAAAAAACCCAATTTTGTGAAAATCAAAATTACCGGTTTTCTGCATACAAAATAAATCACCGTATTTTTTTTACCTGCGGCGTCTGATGCAAAAATTAACGATACTGTTAATCCATTGTGCAAAGAATCGTGAAAATTGAAAATGTCCGCGTCTCATCGATTCGTCATTAGGCCCTATTATAATTATAATCACTTCGAAATGTATATTTGTGGAGAAATATCGCAAAACTTGCACCACAGAGAACAGACATGGAGGCTGGAACAAAATTTCTCTAAAAACTTGTGTAAAGATTCCTATTTGACTTAAGCGCCATTAACGGCGACTTCCCCACTTAAAAACCCTCTTTGACAACATGATGGCGCTGGCGTTGCACAAATTACACTAGACACTAAGTGCTAGTAGCGCCAAGTGGCAATTTTCAACAGAAAATTTATCGATACTAGCGCCAAATCGGTCGAAAGTGGAAAATTTATAGAGAAAATCAGGAGATGCTAACACCACGTAACGGCGACGTTCCCACTTATTTTACACAAGTTTCTAACCGAGCTTGAACGTCTGTTCTCTGTGCTTGCACTGCAAGACGCCATGTGAGACCCATTTACTTATTCAACTTTTTTTCCGACGCGAGCGCCTCTAGTTGTGACTTTTTCGGCGCCTCTTGCCTATCTCGCCTCATCGCATAGTGTGTGACAGCACAACACACGCACACCACCTCAGGCTTTCTGCTTCCCGTTTGACGTTTCTCTTTCTCCGAACATCATCATTTCGAGCCACGTCTAAACTCGGATCGCGGTGAATTTTTCTCCCGGATAGCTCGTTGTGTTTCGCGTTCCATGTCGGTGCTGTTTCTGGAACGATTTTTCGGTGGAAAATAGTGTCTGAAATTGCAGAAAATTTGTGAAAATGGTTAGTTTCGACGGTGGAGTATGCATTGCGGGTGGAATTTCCGGCGGTGCGGTGTTTTTAAACGGGGAAAAAAGTGATGAAATTTTGCTCTGCCAGTGTTCCTCCCTTGATTGGGTGCTCCGGGTCTGTCGCGCTGGAAGTAGTGGAAAATTTTCCACCGTTCCGTGGGGAGCTCCGTGTTCGAAGTAAAGTTACGAAATTGTGGCCTAAAGTGAAATTTTGTTTCGATTTGATTGGGAAAAATGAGTTGTTAAGTGAATCATGTAATTCCGAAGGGGGGTAGAAGAAGATTATGGATGAAGTGGGAAAACGGAGACGGTGTGATGGGTCTCGGTTGCTTTCGTACGAGATAAGAATCGGCAGAAGCGCAGGCCGTCGGGTGGTCGCAATCGGCGGCAAGCGCGTTGTGAATTCATGATGTTGTTGACGATTGGGGCAAGCCAACTGGAAGCAACTCGTCGTCGGAACACTTGAAGCGGAAGAGACCAGCTGGTGGTTGGAGATGAATTTATTGAGTGTCTTGTTCTTGGGTTGTTTAAAGCTGCTTTCGGGGGGGAATTTCAAATGTTTATTTCTTTGTGCCGTCGGGGGGAACGAATTAGGTTTTAAAGTGGCTCATATTCACCGCAAATTCTGATGATAAATTAATGTTTCCAAGTTTCCAATGAAATTTTCTAAATTCATGAATTATTCTACAATTCCATCGTTCAGCCACTCCGACTGGACATCAAGAGACGGCTAACGTCCCGTTCCGATCGTGTTAAATCAGTGGATCTACATCCGACGGAACCATGGATGCTGTGCGCCCTGTACAATGGGCACGTTCACGTAATGAACTACGAAAATCAGCAGCTGGTGAAGGATTTCGAAGTATGCGACATCCCGGTTCGATGTGCTCGCTTCGTTGCCCGCAAAAATTGGATTATCACCGGCTCGGACGACATGCAGGTCCGAGTATTCAACTACAACACCCTGGAGAAGGTACACTCGTTCGAGGCCCACACAGACTACGTCCGCTGCATTGCGGTGCACCCGACACAGCCGCTGATCCTGACCAGCAGCGATGATATGCTCATCAAATTGTGGAACTGGGAAAAGGTGTGGTCCATGCAGCGGGTGTTCGAAGGTCACACTCACTACGTCATGCAGATCGTGTTCAACCCGAAGGACAACAACACATTCGCCAGTGCCTCGCTGGATCGAACCGTCAAGGTGTGGCAGCTGGGCTCGAATGTACCCAACTTCACGCTGGAAGGGCACGAGAAGGGAGTGAACTGTGTGGATTACTACCACGGAGGTGATAAGCCCTACTTGATATCCGGTGCCGACGATCGGTTGGTCAAAATTTGGGACTACCAAAATAAGACGTGCGTCCAGACGCTGGAGGGGCACGCACAGAACGTCTCGGCGGTCTCGTTCCATCCGGAGCTGCCCATTGTGCTGACGGGTTCCGAGGATGGAACCATCCGGATTTGGCACTCGGGCACGTACCGGCTGGAGACGTCGCTGAACTATGGCTTCGAACGGGTGTGGACCATCGCCTGCATGCGGGGAACGAACAATGTGGCGCTTGGGTGAGTAGCATTTTGTTGATTGTACCCTGGACAGACATACAAAGTAAATCGGCGGACGGCTTTTATTCAATGCCTCAAAATGAACAATTTGAGGCACTAGAAAGATTAAAAGAGTACAACGGTATTATTTTGTATGTCTATCATAAGTATTAGGTTTATCTGAACTTAATGGATTGATTGAGAATTTTTCTGCTAGTCACTACTTATTGTCTCAAGCTGTTTTATTACTCGTCTTGTTTGGAGGATGTGTAAATAAATGGCAACGTAGGGCTTTATGTAGTGATGAAACGTTGCTAGAACTATACCACAGCCGCAGACAGTATACAGTCAAGATTTCTACACACTTATGGCGATAAGCTCCAACTCGGATTAACTTTTAATACCGTCCCTGTTTGTATGATCTGCAAAATGTTTGCTCAGAGCTATGTTGATTAACTCTGATGTCGACATCAAACCAGCCGAACATTCTTGACCAGGATTTAATGCGAGGATAATACCGGTTGCAGCTTACCACCATTAGAGATTATCACCGACTTCGGTATAATGAGAGAGAGAAGGATTAGTAATTTCCATTTAATTCCACTACCTTATTTGCTTATCCTTGACAGATACGTGTATTTCGTTTACAATGTGCAGACTTCTTCAGTGTACTAACTGAAGAAGTCTACACTTTGTAGACGAAATACGCGTATCTGTCAAAGATAAGCAAATAAGGTAGTGGAATTAAATGGAAATTACTAATCCTTCTCTCTCTCTCATTATACAGGTATTCCACTAAGGCGCCCACATTCATCAAGACTTCGGTAATTTTACCAAACTTTCAACAGCTGAACTGTTCGGTAAAAATCAGGCATTTTAATTCATTCGTTTTAAGGTTTCAAAACAAGGGAAACATCACCACAATGGCAAGACTCGATTATTTAAACAAGGCTGACAGTGTGTTGAAATTCAAATTTACTGAAACAGCTTTTGAAATGACGGTCAAAGTTTGACCGAACGTTCAGCTTTGAAAGTTCGGTAAAAATTACCGAAGTCGGTAATAATGTCTAAGTGTGTATATTACGGATTCGTTCTTGCCGGATTCCTGTAGTAGTACGGGTGCGACTGAATTCCTATAATACGGTCGATCCGGCATTAACGAATACACATATCATATGGGATTTGAGTCCCAACACTGATTGTACGGTAAATTGAAGAGATAACTTCCTGATGTCTTAGGAGAAGTTGTTAATCAGATAGTTGACCACCTTTTGCGAATAATCAGTTTCCGGTAGGTCACAAGTCTGGCCCTGTGGAAGATCCGGAACATCCGTAAAGGTGGTCAATTCATGAAAACGAACCCAGAGCTCCGCGTATTTTTCAAAACCTCTCGACACCTTACATGGGGACTACATGATGGTCCTCTGAAAGATCCGGAACATCCGTAAATGTGGTTAATTCATGTGACTGATCCTAGAACTCCGTGGTTTTTTAAACCACTTATAGACGTATTTTTATTGTCCCAGGGGATCATGGAATGGACCTCGGAAAGATCCGGAACAACCGTAAAAGTGGTAAAATCTTTTTTTTTTCTTGATTTCTTTTCCGTCGATCTTGTTTTCCGTGCTGAGCACCAATGCACAGCCAGGGAGGCAGCTCCCACATCTGGATCCTACCTATCAAATCATGAACCGGGGACCAACGGCTTTACTTCCCTTCCGAAGGAAGGCGTGATCAGAGATGTTATGCCTCAGAACATTCCGGCTTCGCTGACTGGAATTGAACACAGGCCTGCTGGTGTGAGAGATAATCACGCTTACCACTACACCACCGGCGCCGCTAAATGGTATATTCTTGAAACTGATCCTAGAGCTCCACTTTTTTTGCTATGAATTCGGAGTTGTGATCGGAAAATAGCCTCTTGGGACCACGGGATGGTCCTCCGGAAGATCCAGAACATCAGTAAATGTGGTCAATTAATGAAACATCCTAGAGCTTCGTATTTTTTTTTTCGGAAAAACTCATAGACGTTTCATCAGAATGAATTAGGAGTTTACAGAATGCAAAACAAGTTTATCCACCCCCCTACCAATCGACATTTTTTTTTTTGTTTTTCTGGTGAAAATCAGTTTTATTTTATGAGTGCTCCTCCATGATTTATTTTATCAATTTATGTTTATTTATCACATTGCCATTGCAAATACGGCGTTTATATCTTTTCTTGAGATTTCATGTGATACATTATGAAAAAAATGTAAAAAATTGCGCAAAAAAAGTTAATCCACCCCAAGCGGATACTACGATTTAAGTGTGTTTACAGAGTTTAAGCATAGCGGTAACTCTATGACTAGAAGGTCCAGAAGAAACGTGCTCAACTTTTTGGCTCAGCTCTGGTACTCTCTTCGGTCCCAAGCTAATCGATTCACCCCTCGAAACATAGGAAAATCCACTAACCCCTCATTTTATCTGTCAAACTTTCATAGCGAATCAAAACAAACATTGCGTAGTACTAGAATTTCGACTAGAATGGGGTACGTTAATCGTTTGCTTGGGACCAATAGGCTAGTCAAGTAGTGAGTCAATTTAAAATCGTTAGTTTCAAATTGATTGTTGGTTTTAGTGTGTATTCTGCAACTTTTTCGAATGTAAACATTGTGTCTAGCTGTCATTTAGTGCTCTTGAAGTTTTCGTGCTTAAAATTTCTGTTCGTGTTCAAAATTGGAAGTTATTTGTTGCAAAATGCCCAAAAAAGCACAAATTTCGATCAGTATCCGAAATTTGATTACACTAGTTTACAAAACAACATAAAAAGTGTGAACTTTAGTGGTTGACCAACGTTTCTAATGCAAAATCCTACGCTGAATTCAATGCCGTGGTCAGAAAAAATAAAGTAGAGCCATTTTTGAGATATACAAAAATTTTGATTTTTGAATTTTGGACAAAAGTACGATTACTAAAATGTCAATATCTTTGGAACTAGTGCACCAATTTTAAATCTTTTTTTATGAAAATGAAGCTAAATAAATTTGCTATCGTTCACTAGAATATTATGTCTCAATTAAAAATTTAATTTTGAAGTCATTTAAAAATTTACAGCATTTTTTTTTTATTTTTCCTGCGAATTTGCCATAAAAATCTTGTTTTAATCAACATTTTTAATGGGATAAAAAGATTCAAAAAATCATTCCATAATTTATTCTTAAAGTCCATTAAAAAGTGGAGAAAATGAGCCTTTAATGGATGAAATCGGTTGGAAATTGTCGAAGTTATGAATTTTTTTGTAAAATCATGGAAATTGAATGTTCCAAGATTGGCCGTTGTCCCGCTTCTAGGTTCATGCACCACTTCCAGTAAGCCTTTCTGCGGACGTGTACGCATACGGTGCATTTCACTAACACTACCAGCTGTCACGCAAAATTAAATGGGATATTTTCAACAATATAATTTACGCTAGTGTTTGTGAGACAGCTCGGCGAGAACCTAACGCAACCAACTCAATTTGACAGCTTTCTTTCTTTAACATTGCTTAACGATGTATACGACAAAACGTGAATTCAAGTGTAAAAATGATCCTCAAAAGTTTTGTTACGCGTGTGGCAACCATATATTTACAAAATCGGTCAATTTCACCGCTTCGTTGCAAACTGCAAACTGGATGTCAGGCGCAAGGTAAATTGATTTTTTGAATAACTTTCATATAAACAATTTATGTACAGCATGGTAGTGCTTTGTTCTTTCCTGATCGACATTATCTTACTTCATCTATTTTTGATAAGTGTTAATGTCTTACTTACTAACTCACTTATTTGTTATCTGTCAGTCGCTATTTGTCCTTTGACATGCCCACCATATGGCGTCGACCGTTTTGTCATGCAACGGATTGTTATTTCTGCTTGACAAAAGTTAAGCAACAAGGACGTCACAAAACAGTTGAGTATCCACAAGTGGCTTTTATGACAAAACCTGTTCCACATTCAAGTTCGGTCCCGTATCCTGTTTATCCAAAGCGGAAACGAGCGCCCTCTGTTGAATCGACCGTTACAAAAAGTGAGGAGGAATTCAAGGAGGAATGCGAGGAAGACTTCGAGGTGGAATTGGAAAGAAACCCAAAACTGTTTACACAATCCGAATTTAATGATTTGGTGCGAGATCTCGACTTATCGAAGGAGAAATCCGAATTGCTGGCATCACGCTTGAAAGAACACAACATGCTGAGCAAGGAGGTCAAAATTTCTTGTCACAGGAATCGTCACAAGAAATTTGACAAATATTATTCTACAAAGGACAAGGCATGTTTTTGCCATGACGTAAACGGCTTGTTTGAAGAGTTTGGTGAGCCATATGATCCAGCTGAATGGCGTTTATTCATCGATAGCAGCAAGTTGAGCTTGAAAGCCGTTTTACTGCATCAAGGGAATGAGAAACCTTCTATTCCATTAGCTCATGCCTTTAATATGAAGGTAACGTATGAATCAATGGCTCTATTGCTCAATTTGATAAATTACAATCAACACAATTGGAAAATTTGTTCCGATCTTAAAGTGGTTGCCATGTTGACTGGATTGCAACAGGGATACACAAAATATATGTGTTTTTTGTGTAAATGGGACAGTCGAGCTTGTAAGGAACACTACGTCCGAAAAGATTGGCCAAAACGGGATAATTTCACAATTGGTAAAGACAACGTTTAAAATGATCCTCTTGTGGTAAAAGAACGCATAATACTTCCACCACTACATATAAAACTTGGGCTATTCAAAAATTTCGTCAAAGCGTTGCAAAAAGAAGGGCCGGCATTCCAGTACTTGAAATCAGTATTTCCAAATTTATCTGACGCAAAGATAGAAGGTGTATTTGTTGGCCCACAGATCAAAAAACTGCTCAATGATTCCGCATTCAATACAGTTTTGACACCAGATGAGGAAGAAGCGTGGAAATCGTTCCAGCGTGTTGTCACAACCTTTTTAGGAAATTTCAGAAGCCCAGATTATGAGGAAGCCGTCGATGAATTGCTCAAAAAT